GCAAAAAAAATTAACAGCAAAGGAGGCCAAGGCTGGAGGATAGCTTAACGCCAGGAATTTGAGACCAGTCTGGGCAACACAGTGAGACCCCGTCCCTATGAAAAATTAAAAAAATTAGGTGGGTGCAGTGGCATGCACCTGTATTCTCAGCTACTCAGGAGGCTGAAGCCAGAGGATCACTGGAGCTCAGGAGTTTGAGGTTGCAGTGAGCTATGATAATGCCACTGTAACCCGTCCTGAAGGACAGAGTGAGACCCTGCCTTAAAAAAAAAAAAAGCGGAAAAATGACTTGTGACTCAGATTAAGTTCCCATAACAATACAAACCCAAATCTCATTGTGTCAAGGCAGTTATATATGCAAGCGGAGAAAAAAGAAAGCAGATTGTGAAAAGTGCTATAAGGGAGGTACAGACATGCAAAATAAAAGAAAGGATTAATTCCAATTGAAGAATCAGGGAGATCATTCATAAATTTTTATATATGTGTATTATATATTGTATAGTTTGTGTGTGTGTGTGTATATATATATATATATATATATAATGTTAAAAGAAAAAACATGCACTATCGCAAGTCCCCGAAATCCCAGAGCTCCATGAAACAAATAATACAAGTTTCCAAGCTAGTTTTAACATTTCAAAAGTCTTAACAAAAGTATTACATTTACCTGCTCTGAGACCACACAGGCTAAATTAAATGTAAAATTTCTGTTTTTATAAAAATTATATCAACTGAAATAATGGCTGTCCCAAACTGAATACAATTTCTGAAGGAAGACATGCACTATCTCTGATGAAAAATTTAGTAAAAATGAATTACTACATGATAGCTATTATTGATAAATGAAATATTTTAAAATATAGGATTAATAGAAGATATAGCAAAGAAGGTATGTTGAAGTGGAACAAGAATCTACTTTGCATGTACTAATAGCAGCTTGCTCATGTCTTCAAATTTTCAATATGAGGCCAATTAGAATAACCTTTAATTGAAACTTTTTCTACGGTCAAAATTTTACCAAGGGAAATTTTATACTTTTACTTCCCTAGAAAATACTTCTTGGTTCTTATAATGAGATTTTAATTGAAAATATTAGAATACTTCTAAAGGAAGTATTAAGTGCATATCAATAGTGGGAGCAAGAAGATGTGTAGAAAGATAACATTAAAGTTTTACATTTGTATAAGAATTTTACACTTCTCAAAGGTACTTTTTAAATTATAACAACCTTGATGGCTAGATAAGGCAGAAAATCCCATTTTACTTATTAATAATAAAGCAGAAGTTTTCAGGTATTTAGTAGTACACCTGGGTTAGAACACTAGTTTCTTTAAATCTTTGGTTGGTTGTTTTACTCATTAAACACTTTGCTGCTAGTAGTGTAAGTCATTCATTCAACGCATGCTGTTGACCCTTGCACATTGTGGGGGTTATGGGCACTGACCCCAAGCACAGTCAAAAATCTTCAATATAACTTTTGACTCCCCAAAAACTTAACTACTTATAGCCTATTTTTGACCAGAAGCCTTTCTGATAACATAAACAGTTGATTAATACATGTTCTGTATGTTATATATATATTATATACTGTATTCTCACAATAAAGTAAGCTAGAGAAAAGAAAATGTTATTAAGAAAAGCATAAGGAAGAGAGAATGTATTTACTATTCATTAAGTGGCAGTGACTTTCAAGTTCTTCATCCTCATCATCTTCATGTTGAGTAGCCTGAGAAGGACGGGGAAGAGGAGGGATGGGTCTTGCTGTCTCAGGGATTGGCAGAGGTGAGAGAAAATCCACTTATATGTGTATCAGTGGACCCACACCGTTCAAACCTATTGTTGTTCAAGGGTCAACTGTATTCATTTAATGCCTACTATGTTCTAGGTCCTATTCTAACTGCTGGGGATCTAGTGCACTCCTGGAAAGACCAAAATCCATGTCTCACGTAACACATTTTCTCAGAGATGAGACAGCCAACAGTGATGTGCCTTGCAGAAGAATAAAGCTGGGAGGGGAAATGGGAAATTTTAAAAGGGAGCCGCCTTTGAGACGGTGTCTAATTTCATCCCACTACTCACCTTGCTAATCTATTTTTGTCAATTTAAAACTCCTATGAATGTAATACAGCGCATCTATCAACATTTTTATGTCTGTCTTACTCCTCCCCTTCACATGAATCTGAAAGCATCATGTCCAGTATTTTATAGGTAAAGTTTTATGTATTGTGTCAAAAATGAAGTATTTTGTTTCCATGAATAATACCTAAGAAAATACTATCCTGTCCTATGTAGAGAATAGCTATTTATTCATGTGCCTGTTTAGAATATATGTCCATTTGCTTTGTTATATACTGAGTCAGTTGCTAATCACAAGATGAGGGAAAATGATCTATTACAAAGCTTTGTACAATATCTCAAATATAGAAGACCTAAATTTCTCAATTAATATAGTTATATTTCATTCTAGTTTTGAGTCCAGTTTTTACCTCTGAACCGTGTAACAAAATATTATGACCCTTCAGTACTTAGATGAGAGTGTTTTGGTTAAACATCTTCAAAATGACAACATTGTCTTTAGAGAAAATGATCCATATCCTCTCTAAAAATTGTCAAAGCAATTAGAGCATTCAAAGAGAGATTGATAGGGATTATTCTTTTTCTTTTCTCCTTGAACTTAAAAAAATAAACCACAAATAAATTTGGTTTTTTGTCCTTTGTATTTGTACAGGTTTATAACCTGCTACCAGTGCGGGACCTCACTGGCTTCCCCGCGGGTTTGAGTCAACAGGAGGAAGACGATAGAGACTGTGTCTATGGTTATAACATGAATATTAGTGGAAGACCATATATTATGATTACAGATATACATGAAAAAGATATGTATAGCTTCCTACAGGTAAATTCCTCCCATTGTGGGCGGTCAGTTTTTACAGTTCTTAAAATATTGTATATGGAAAAATTTATTTATTTTAATGCCTTCATATCATGGTTGAAGATAATGGGACATAAAGAGATCAAGTAAGTTCTCCAAGGTCACTAATAGTGGCAGAACTGCTAAAACCTATAACATAGAACTGGAACTTTTGGAACTGTTAATCAAGTTTTCTTTTTTATCAAAATTCATTACTTTGTGATATTTTTCAATATCACATATATAAAACAATTACTATTGAAAGAACTCAAGGAAGAGAATGAAATTACTTCTATAAGTATTCTAATATCTCTTCTCCAAATGTGAAAATTAAAAGTTTAATATTAAGCTAATTGGATTGTTTATTAAATTCAATGAAAAGGAGTATGCACCTATATATCATATATGTGTACTGATTAGGTAATAATTTCTTTTACAGGATATGGGCTTAAGGGCATTCACCAACTCAAAGATTCGTAAACCCACAATATGTCTACCGCTTATATTGTATAGCCCACGGATACCTAAACCTGTAGAAGAAATAGGTAAAAAAATGAATACAAATTTATTTCCTAATATATTGAACCAAATATAAGAATTTTTAAAAAGATAAAATTTAATAAAACTAACAAGAAAGGACGTGTAATTCATATATATTATGGTTCTTGTTGAAGGTCGCATAGCAATATGAACCCAGCTCTCTGATTTATCAGGCCATCCACAGTTGCAATGCTGGCAGCAGTACAAGGCAGATTGTAAAAAGTCCCATAAGAGAGGTACAGATATGCAAAGTGAAAGAAAGTATTAACTCTGCTTGAGGAATCAGTCATTCATGAAGAATTAGCTTCTGGTAAATGGAGATGTGTGTGGTTGGAAAGGGAAAGAAAAGCCTTCAGACATATTGCTAGAATCAGTGTAAACAGAAATAGAAATGCTCACAAAATAGAGCTACATTCTCAACAGTCAAGTAAAACAGCTCTTCAACGTCCCCAAAACATCAGCCAATATTCATGTGAAAACCACAAGCATTCATCAATAATGTGAGCTACTTCGCTGATGAATCAGATAATAATCAAGTGTTAGTACTCTCATATTGTCAAATCATGGTTAACGATAAGTTGAGTACAGACAAACGAGCTTCAAAATACAAGGAAAACACTCAGTGAGAATCAATTCACTGTATGGAATGTGTTACAAAGATTATTGGATATATCTGCATTATTTATAAATTACATTCTATAATCTTTTATCAGTAAGATTTAGAGTAAACTGACATATGTACAAGTATATATATGTCATTATTGGATTTGGTCATCAAATATTTACCAACACACCCTTAGCAGAAGGTGAACAGGGTAAAGGAACCTAACTCTGGTTCTGACACAATATGGAATAAAGAGCTTTTTTTTATCCTTGATCTTTTCACTCCTGTAAACTGGTTCCCAAAGCCACTGCCATAATGTCTGGGTCACGACTGAGAAACACACCAGTGGAAGCTTTGCCTCCTGCTGTCCTCCCAATGCCACGTCATAGCACGCTCCACTTAGCGCAAGGGCACAGCCACGTAGGGCTCCGAGCCCTTCCTCTCCACAGGCAATCCAAGGCCCTTCCTGCCAGGTCTCCATATCCTCTGCTTCGGAGCCTCTTCCCCCAGCTCACTCCTAGCTTATCCCAATACTTCAGAATTCTGCTGGAACATCACCTCCTCAAGAAGCTTCCCCTAACCACCAAGTGCGCTCTCCTGGTGTCTGTTTCGTCACTCTGTGTGTCTTGATCGCACCTATTACAATCTCTCATAGGCTTTAGCTTTTTTTTTTTTTTAGCTTTAGCTTTAATATTTGTTTTTCCCGTCTTCTCTCTCACCCACTATAGACACAGATGTAATGGAACAAGGCCATGAAACTGCAAGTATGATGCTTGCTGGAGGGGCTCGCACAGAGACTGTACGAAAGTACTTCCCTGAGACGTGGATCTGGGATTTGGTGGTGGCAGAGTAAGTAACTTCCGTTATATGCAAGATGCAACAGTATAGATCCCTCACTATAGTCAATTCTTTGCTAATTCTTCTGTTGTTGTTGTTATATGTAAGGCGTACAACACAATGTTTTAATATATATAGTAAAATGGTTACTGCAATGAAGAAAACTAACCTATCTATAATCTCACATTACCTGTTTTTGTGTGAGTGGCAAGAGTACCTCAAAATCTATCCTCTTAGCCATATTCCAGTATACGATATAATATTCTAACTATAACCTTCTTGCGTAACCTTAGATCTCTAGATTTATTCACCCTACAAAACTGCAACTTTGTAGTCTTTGACCTGCATCTCCCCACCACACCCCCATGATTCTATTCTCTGTTTCTTCTTTGACCTGCATCTCCCCAGCACACCCCCATGATTCTATTCTCTGTTTCTATGTGTTCAATTTCTTTTAGATTACACATACAATTGAGAACATGTAATACTTTTCTTTCTGTGTCTGGTTTATTTCACATAGCATAATGTCCTCCAGGTTCATCCATATTGTCACAAATGACAGGATCTTTTTCCTTTTAAGGCTGAATAATATTCCACTATACAAACACACACACACACACACACACACATTTCTTTATCCATTCATCCAAGGATGGATACTTACGCTGTTTCTCTATCGTGGCTACTGTGAATAATGCTGCAAATGAACATAAGAGTGCACATATTAAATATATGCACTCTGCAATGTGCCTACTTCATTTCCTTTGGGTATATGCCTATAAGAGGGATTTCTGGATCACACAGTAGTTCCATTTTTAACTTTTTAAGGAATCTCCATACCATTTTCCATAATGGCTGTACCAATTTATATTCCCACCAACAGTGTGAACACCAAGGAGTGTAAGCACACCACTTCCAGAGAAAACCTGGAGTCCGGATTTTATCACTGTAATGGAGTAGGAGGACACGGAAAAGGGGAAGCTCCCAAGGCTCCTGGAGGTCTCTTGTTAATCTGGCCCTTCTGCTCTCAGAGGCCAGCTAATTAGAAGTGAACCTTCAGGCAGCAACTGAGAAAGTGTGTAATCAAACCCCTTCCAGAGAGAAACTGTGCGCTCTTTGCTGATTTTCCAGTATTGAAGTACTTCTTTAAAACATATTGGTATTTTCAGGAGTGGTTTAGTGTATATACTCTCTTACAAATGGCAAATGGCATCAAAGCCAAGAAATTTTGCACATTTAATTCTAATATTTCCAAAAAAAATGGGCATAAGGAACAAATATAACAAAATACTGCAGAAATAAACACGTATAAAACATCCTTTATTGGTCAAAAATCTTGAGTTAAGCACAGATACAGTCAGGCCAACTATACCCAATAGTAATAGAATTAAAAACTATAAAGCAACACTCGATGGAACAGCATTTTAGAGAAAAGAATTTAAAGACAATCTCAAATTACATGTTAAGTTGATAGCTATTTTCTCTGTAAAAGATTATGCTACAACTGTATGTCTATAGGAGATTCTGATAAAGACTAGCACTGAAAACAGAATTGGAAGAAAGGCAGGACCTATATATTCCCACCTCAAGCCTCAATTATACTCTCAATTATTGATATTTCTATTGAGTGCATTCAAGTATGACAACAGTATCTTTTATAGAGGTTCTCGCCCCAGAAAGGATTTATTTAACTGCTTTCTCTCTGTTCTTCACATCGCCCTCCTCCCCCAGCTCTTCAGGTGTGGCTGAGGTAGGGGTATCCGTCCCTGACACCATCACGGAGTGGAAGGCAGGGGCCCTCTGCCTGTCCCAGGACACAGGACTTGGTCTCTCTCTCACTGCCTCTCTCCGAGTCTTCCAACCCTTCTTTGTGGAGCTCACCATGCCCTACTCTGTGATCCGCGGAGAGGCCTTCACACTCAGGGCCAGTGTTGTCAACTACCATCCCAAATGCCTTTTGGTAAGGAGCTCTTCCTAATTGTATACAAGGTAGCAGTCAAGTAAATTAAAAGTTGCATGCCTAGGAGTACTAACTCTTGTGTCCAATATGTGCTAACTAGAAGAAGAATACTACCAGATATTCATAAGCTATGTGAGTTACAGTTGCTATCTGAAAATAACAAATTGCAACTTAAAACAAGTTTGTATCCCTTATCATGACAATTTAAAGTTCAGCAGTTTGTGTAATATGAAGATTTCTCACAAGGACAATAAAAAATTAGTACTCTTTATCCTCGTGTCTTATTTAGATTCTTCAGGGTTTAGGCCTCTACATTCTCATATATTTAATTTTTCATAGCTCATTCATCAAATTAAACTTAATTTTATAAGTTATTCATGAGCATCTTACCTCTGCTGAAACCATGACTCTTTATAAATCTTGTATACTCTGCTGGGAGAGCTAAGGAAATGGGCAAGGTCCCAGACCAAAGAAATAGAGCAACCTGCCATCATAACCTTTCCTTTCTTTGTTCCCACCACACGAAAGAGCAGTCACAACCAAAATACTCGGATGTAGATGTCAGATCCACCTAAATGTACTAAAGGTGCTTGGTCTTTGCTTGTACCATCATTAATATTAAGCAACCTGAAATCTATCCAATCCCTCAGTATGCTTTACTTCAATCCATTCTTCCTCTGGTCTCCTATTCCCTCTAATCTGTCTCACATGTGGTTTCAGATCTTTGTGCATCTGGAAGCCACTCCTGCCTTCCAAGCTGTCCCAGTGGAGAAAGAACAAGAGACTGTCTGTGTCTGTGGTGACGAGCGGCAAACTGTGTCCTGGGAAGTAACCCCAAAGTCACTAGGTGAGGGGCAGACTCCTAGAAATAATTTTCTACTCAAAAATTGTACATATCCATGGGAACCTGATATTCAACACTACTTTCCTCAGGAAAAGACCCCAGATGGTATAATATTTTTTCACTGTCTTCCATTGTAGGCTTCCTAGAAGGATATCCCCAAACATCTCCACCTTGGATTCTCAGTATCATCAGCCTCTCATTTATGCTGTTTCCATTCCTGCTCCAGTGTTTTCATAGAACAAAAATAAAACAGAGCATTGACATTTATAAATGTTGAGTTTGGAGGCATGAAGGAAGGGGGAAGATGATACTCATCTTTATTGGCTCTTTTTTTTTCAGGAAATGTCAATTTTACTGTGAGCGCACAAGCACTATCATCTTCAGAGTCGTGTGGGAATGAGAAGGATAGCCTACCTGAATATGGAAAGAAAGACACAATCATTAAGCTCCTATTGGTTGAAGTAAGTGAGCCTGCCCATTTGATAGGTCACACTGAGTCACAAAAAACAATGGTTAACACAGTTGGAGTTTCAACTTTTAGGTATGAAGACCTAAATAATACATGGCCAATAATATCCATAATAATAAAATGATAATATATTGGTTAATATAATAATTATTATGGGTAATTCAGAATAGTATTCTTTTTTATCTACCTACCTACCTATCATCTATTTCTCTTGAAGTATATTCTTAATTTTTCCTTTACTTTCTTATCCACCAACCTGTCCCCTTCATATCACTTATACTTACAGAGTTTGTTTATATAAAGCAGTTCAAATTCCTTCCTTCACTATCCAGAAATCTGTGGTCCCCCTATCAACATATGTGTCCTGAAAGTCGGTCCATTCTCACCTCTAACTTCTCTTTCTTTTACTTAAAGCCTGAAGGAATAAAGAAGGAAGTGACATTCAACTCCCTGCTTTGTCCATCAGGTAAGAGTCAACCTTCCTAATTTTAAAAACACTGGCTAAAGTTTATATAACATTTGAAGTGCAAAGAACTTTTGTATATTATTTTTACACTTTTCTTATTAGGTAAGACCTAAAGTACCATGAACACATTTGACAGATGAGAAAAATGGTTCGTAGAGAGGCCAAGAAATTCAATCGTGAGAAAATCCTTAGCTCATGCATTCCGAGTCTTGATCTCTTGCACCACTTACGTAAACACCAAAATGTCTTCCTGAATAGTGTGTGGTGTGGGCATAGGCAGAAAGTGACTAGAGTCAAAATGAATGTTGCCAAAGGGGCTATTTCCTTGAATTATTACCAATATAACATATGGATGGCTGAATTCAGGCCATTCCAACACTGAGTTTTGCATAGACAGTATCATTTGGTAACGGGACCATGCCATTTCCCAAAGGAAGAATTGTTGTCATCTTTACCATTATTATCATATTAATATTTGATGCTAATCCTGTACCTAATGCACTATCAGTCATTTGAAAAGGCACTGAAAAAAATCACAGTAAAAAATATAACTTTATCTTGGTGGTGAATTTTCTAGTCTAAACAAAAACATTTATAGTAATTAGTACACTAAGAAATGTCCTAACACAATGTGTTCTCATCTCAAACCAATGTCAAATCAAGTTCGTACATGTTTGTTGCCTTTCTCTGCCTATTATGTTGTCAAGACTTACTGTATAAAATGTGTTCTAAAAACATTATTTCCTGGATTTTAGCTTTATTTCTACATTTGCATCCATGTACTGCTTACCACCTGATCCTTTAATCATGATTTCTCCTCCATTTCTGAGTTATTCATTTTGTTTTATCTCTTCAGTATCAGTGCCAGTCATCAAGCAATTTTATTGAAATTTATTTTAATTACTCATGTAATTATACAGAAATAAATTCTCCTTTAATAAAACAAAACAGAACATCATATTAAAGACTGATGTCTTCCCTCATAATATTTTTCAATAACTTAATGATCATCCGTGGGCCTTCAGAAATAAGATGTGTAGACGTATGTTTGTGTATGTTAAATAAATTTTAGAAATAAATGTATGTATAGATGTGTAGAATTTAGAATTAAATTTAGAATTAAATTAATTAAATTTTAGAAATAAATGTATGTATAGATGTGTAGATGTGTTTATGTATATTACATAGATGTATGTTTGTGTATATTACACAAATTATATAACTTTCATTCCATAACTCTTTGTTTTTTACTGAGCAATCTGTCTTGGAGATCTATGTTAAATTATGGATCAAATCATTACTTTCAATTGCTTTTAATTCTGTAATATCAATATATACAATTCTGTTTGGTCTTTTAACCTTCCTATATTGGTTTATCCAACTATTTGTTAATAAAAAATTAATTACTTAGTGATAATAATAGCCTCCTGTGTACATATGCAAGTGTACCTAAGGTAGATGCCAAAATGTGACATTCCTAAGTCAGAGTTGGTATGAATATATATGCAAATTATTTTTGTTTGCTTTTTGTTTTTTTATTTAATTATATTGCAAATTGACAATTTATAATTGTATACCATTATGGCATGCAAGGTGATATTATGATTTATAAATATAATGTGAAATAATTAATAAAGCTAATTAGCATATCTATAACCGCAAATACTTATTTTTTGTGGTAAGAATATTTGAAATTTAATCTTTAAGCAAGTTTGAAATATACAATACATTATTAACTATGTTCACCATACTGTGCATTGAATCTCAGAAAAGAAAAATGTATTCCTTTTCTCTGAGACATTGTATCCTTTGAACATCATCTCCCTACCTGCCCACCCACATTCTCAGTAAGCCTCATTCTACTCTCTCCTTTTATGAGTTTGACTGTCTTAGCTTCCACAGACAAGTGAAAACATGCAAAATTTGTAGTTCTATAACTGGCTTAAATCATTTAACATAATGTCCTCCAGGATCATTCATGTTGTCACAAGTAACTGAATGTCCTTCTTTTTGTTGTTTTTGTTGCTGTTGGAGACAGTCTCACTCTGTTGCCCTGGCTAGAGTGCAGTGGCATGCTCATAGTTCACCCACAACCTCAAACTCCTATGCTCAACTGATCCTCCTGCCTCAGCCTCCTGAGTAGGTGGGACTACAGGCCAGCACCAGCATGCCCAGCTGATTTTTTTCTATTCTTAGTAGAGATGGGATCTCACGCTTGCTGAGGCTGGTCTTGAACTCCTGACCTCAAGCAATCCTACCACCTCAGACTCCCACAGTGCTAAGATTAAAGGTATGAGCCATCATGCCTGGCCAAATGGCCTTCCTTTTTAAGGCTGAATAGTATTCCACAGTGTACGTATACCACATTTTTTTTATTCATCTGTTGATGGACACATGATTCCATTATGAATAGTGCTACAATGAAGATGGAAGCACAGACATCTCTTTAACAAACTGATTTTAAATATTGTAAATAAATACCCAGAGGTGAGATTGCCAAATCATGTAGAAATTCTCTTTTTAGTTTTTTAAGAAACGTCTATATAGTTTTCTATAATGGCTACACTAATTTACATTGCCACCAACAGTGTGCAAAGGTGCCCTTTTCTCCAGATCTTTGCGAACACTTGCTGTCATTTGTCTTTTTGATAATAGCCATTCTGACAGGTGTGAGGTGATTATCTCATAGTGGCTTTAATTTGCATTTTCCTAATTATAACTGATGTTGAGCATTTTTAATATATCTGCTGACCATTTGTATATCTTCTTTTGAGAAATCTCTTTTTAGTTCCCTTGACCATTTTCAATTGGGTTATTTGTTCCTTGCTGTTGCATTGTTTGAGTTCCTGATATATTTTGAATAGTAACACCTTATCAAAGGTTATATTTAAGTCTTTAATACATTTTGAGTTGAATTTTGTATATGATATTATATAAGAGGACAATTTTATTCTTCTTTATGTGGATATTCAGTTTCACTAACACCATTTATTGAAGAGACTATCCTTTTCCCATTGTGTTTTCTTAGCAATGTTGTTGATAATCAATTTCTTGTACATGCATGGATTCATTTGGCTCTCTATTCTATTCTATTGGTCAATATAGCTATATTTATGCCTGTCGCATGTTGTTTTGATTACTATAGCTTTGTAATATAGTTTGCAATCCGGTAGAGTGATGTCTACAAGTTTGTTCTTTTCATGATTGCTTTGGCTATCCAGGATTTTTGTGAATCCATATGAAGTTTAAGATTGCTTTTTTCTAACTCTGTGAAAAATGAAATTGGAGTTTTGACAGGAATTATACTGATCTGCAGATTGCTTTGGTTAGTAAAGACATTTTAACAATATTAATTCTTCTAATCCATGAACAGTGGATATTTCTCCACTTACTTGTGCCTTCTTCAGTTTCTTTCATCAGTGTTTTATTGTTTCAGTCTACATTTCAATTCCTTGATTAAACTTATTCCTACATAATTTTTTCATGGCTATTGGGAATGGGATTGTTCTCTTGATTTTTTTCCAATAATTTGTTGTTAGCGTATAGAAACCCTACTGATTTTTATGTCCTGCAACTTTACTGTATTCATTTATTAGTTCTGTTTTTCAGTAAAGTCTTCAGGTTTTTCTATATATGAGATCATGTCATCACCAAAAGTAAAAATTTTACTTCTTTCTTTCCAATTTGGATGCTTTCTACTTATATTTTTTTCTTATCTGATTTCTCTTGCTGGTACTTTCAGTACTACTTTGAGAAGAAATGGCTAGAATGGGCATTCATGTTTTATTCCAAATCTTAGAGGAAAGGATTTTAATTTTTCACCGTGGACTATAATGTTTTCTGTGGACTTTTCATCTATAGCCTTTATTGTGTTGAGGAACATTCTTCTTTCTATATCTAATTTGGTGAGAGTTTTTATCATAAAAGAATCTTAAATTTTGCCAAGTGCTTCTTCTCTAATGAAATAATCATATGATTTTTTCCCTTCATTCTGTTAATGTGCTAGATAATAATTTTCATATGTTGAACAATTCTAGCATCCCAGGAATAAATCCCCATGTCATCATGGTGAATGATCATTTTAATGTGTTGTTGAATTGGATTTTCTACTATTTTTTTTTAGAAACAGGATTTCACTATGTTCCCCACATGGGACTCAAATTCCTAGGTTTGAGTGATCTTACCACCAAAGCCTCCCAAGTAGTTGGGATTAAAGGCATGTGCCACTGTGTCTGGCTGGTTTGCCATTATAGTATTTCATTGAGAATTTCTGTATCTATATTCATCAAAGACAGTGTCCTATAATTTTCTTTTCTTGTAATGTCTTTGTCTGGCATTGGTATCAGGGTAATGCTGGCTTCATAAGTTGAGTTTGGTAGTATTTCATTCTCTTCAATTTGTTGGCAGAGTTGGAGAAAAATTGGTATTAGTTCTTCTTGAAATGTTTGGTAGTATTCAGCAGTGAAGCCATCAGATATTGGGCTTTTTGTATAGGAAATTTTTTTTTTACTGATTCAATCTCTTTACTGATTGATATGTGAATATCTCTAAGAAATGAGAGAGATACATGCCTTTAATCCCAACTACTTGGGAGGCGTAGATGGTAAGATCACTTTAGCCTAGGAATTTAAGTCCAATGTGGGGAACATAGTGAAATCCCATTTCTAAAAAAAACAAATAGTAGAAAATTCAATTCAACAACGCATTAAAATGATCATTCACCATGGTGATGTGGGGATTTATTCCTGGGATGCTAGAATTTTTCAACATATGCAAATCACAATCTATCGCATTCAATTCACATATCAACATACTGATTGATATTATTGACCTGTTTGGATTTTCTAATTCTTCATGATTCAGTCTTGGTAGTCTGTAATGGTCTAGAATCTATCCATTTCTTTTAGATTATCCAATTTGTTGGCATGTAATTGTTCATAATAGTTTTTATTTCATAATAGTTTTTCCTATTATGAAATAATTGTGATCCTTTCTATTTC